CCGTAGAACCAAATATGTTACCATCAATACCAATTTTTATCTTGAATAGAGTTTATGTGACCAATATCAGGTACAAAATGCCAAATTCGAGCCAAGATACTCATGTATGCACCGACTCTCAATCAAAATATTTTACATAATTCTGCCGAGATGAACGACCTGATCCTATAAGAATGGTGCTGAGGCGAACGTCCCAATCCTATAAGAATGATGTTGAGGCAATCAACTTGATCCCATAAAAATATTACTGAGGTGTTCTCATAAGCATACTGCTAAGGCGAACTACCCGATCCCATAAGAGCATTAAATCTTCCGAAAATATAAGTATGGCACGGGAATAAATTCGTAAAATAAAGTAAAATTCCATTGCTAATCAAGTATCATGTCAAGTCTTTAGAATAGCAAAGCTCGATAAACTACGCAAGTCAAGTCCAGGCTAAATCACGAATTAAAGCACTTAATAAGGCAAGATTGACTCAAGTAGTATAGTTAAAGCATGGTATAACTCTAAGTCTACACAGACGTGTCAAAATCTAAGCATACGCACGTACACTCATCACCTTGTATGTATGTAGCTCCTATAACACATAGCAAATAGCAGATAGAATACTTATGAGGATAAGTTTCCTCTTACAAAGTTAGGCGAGAGACTAAACTCCCTCTGAAATCCGATAACTGGCTCCAACACCGCTCTTACACCTCAAACCAATGCTGAAAAACCCCAAACTAGCCAATGAACGTGTAAACTAGTCAAAAAAATACTCAAGAACCATAATTTATTGATTAGAAACAATTCTCAACCCCGTACAAAAGTCAACAAAAAGTCAACCCCGAGCTCGTGCGCCCGAATTTCGAAAGTCTCAAAAATAAATGCTACTCATAGCACCACGAACTTAAATATATAATTTATTCTTAAATCCATATCCAATTTCACGGTAAATTTTTTTTTATACCAAATTCTAGGTTTCCAACAAAAATCCTAAATTATTCAATAATTTCTATCAATTTTTATGTTAAATTATATATATAATCCATGCATTTAGCTAACAATAGTTGGAATCACTTACATTATTTTATATGATAAAAATAGCTCTTCAAGAACATCCCAAATCGCCCTTGTATCAAAGAATGAAGTAAAAAATGAGATAAGTCCCGAGATCCCAACTTATAATCTGTCCCTTCACGATCGCAACAGTACCCTCATGACCACAAAGGCAAAACAAGCCTCGCCCAGATTTATTCCTTCGCGAAATGAAGAAATTCCCGCGAACGCGATGCCCAAACCTACGCAAACACGAAAGCCAAATCTTAGCTGGACTCCATATCATCGCGAATGCGACCCCAAGCATGCGAACGCGATGTTCCTTCCCCTAATCCTCCATAAATGTGACACTACACTCGTGAATGCGAAGAGGAAAAACTAACCTGTCAGCACCCCTGCTTCGTGATCGCTAGACTTGCTTCGCGAATGCGAAGAACAATAGTTATCAGCAAAAATCTGCCAACTTTAACATGCTCCAAGCGGTCCGAAACTCACCCGAGTTACCCGGAACTCCATCCAATCATACCAATAAATCTAAATACCTTATCCAAACTAGTTCCAATACTCGTAATGCCAAACCAAATGCCAAAACATGGAATCATTATCAAACATCCAATTCTTCTAACTTCCAAGCTTAAGAACTACAAACTTACACCGCAAGCATTCGATTTACTCCCGAGCCCCCAACTAACTCCAAATCATATGACTAAGTATGAACACCCATAATAAACTCGCTCGAGCTTCCAAGTCTGAATTCCCACAATTCTCCTTCAAACCAACTTATCTAACACTTAAATTTTCAAAAATGCCAACTTCATACATAAGTCGTCGAATCGCTCCTGGATCACCCAAGACTCGACCCCAAAATAATCATACAAACCTATTGGAACTTTCAAATCCCGATTCTGAGATCGTTTACTTAAAGTGTTGACTTTAGTCAAGCTTAGCCACCGTAGGCCACTACCATAGAACTAAGCATTCAAAATTCAATCTGAACCCTTCTGGAACCAAACCAACTGCGACCGCAAGTCATCAAATAAGAAAAGCACATAATTAAAGTCTCAAATAGGGGACTGGGGTTCTACAAAGAAAAAACGGCCAGTTGAATCGTTACAATTATACATTGGCTTACCTAGTCTTTGAGGTTAGGTGCCATCACGACCTTTGGTGGGATTTTGGTTCGTGACAATGAAGAGCTTATTGGACTAGCGATGGCATTCTTTTGATAGGCTAAGTCGAGCCAAAGTTCGTTTGACCACCTCAATGATGTTGTTATTTTCTTCTAGCATATACAAAGAGGATCTCACTTCTTTTGGAGAAGATGAACAAAAAACATGAGTTGCAAATGACACTTCAAGTACTTGTTCTCCTAGTATTTCGGCTTTACTCCTTTTAATTTGGTCAACAATCTCCATGACAACTTTCAATCCGCCCTTGGAATCATATCTAGGGTTGATCTTCATTGGAGTCATCTTGATATTCTTGAACTTTGAAGAGAATAGATAAGAGGTAAAGATGTCCCATTGGGCGTACCAAAATTTATAACACCAGATTTTGTGTCTGAAAAATTAAAGACAAGAAAATAGCAATAAATATAATATTTAATCTTGCAAGTGATGAGGGTTGCAATTTGTAGAATATTGAAAATTCAAAGAGATGCAGTCATCTGATTCTTCTCGTCACGAACGTCAGTTCAGTGGCTCAAGAGCTTGGTCTTTAACTTGATGGACTTTGCATTTACTTCAAGAACTTGATCTTGAAATTGTGGTACGTAACGAACAATTTGATGATGTCACGAACCAGGATTTGAGATTCAGCTATCATGAATGAAAGATTTGAAGATGTCTACTTAAAATCTGGATTTGACTTTGCCTTAGGGATTAGGCCACGGACGAAGGTCATAGATTTAGAGTGAGACGTTGAATGTTGTTCTTCAGAGCATCTCTAGCCTTCCTTCTGCTTGCTATAAGTATTTCTTGTTTTTGATTTCTTCTTATCTCAAATGAGAGGTGTGACCCCTTAAGTGTGGAGTGGAGTAGCCTTCAAGAAAACCCTCATGAGCCATTGAGCTTGGAGCCTATGGATCGATCCATTTGATAGAAGTCCAATTAATGGGCAAGCACAATAGTATTAGACTTTTATTTAAATCAATTTATTCAAATTGAAATGTTTGACCCGATTATACTAACCCATAGTATTTATTTAGATTAGTATATATTCAATTTATTTGGAAACAACCTCTCTGCCTTCTTACAGGTACGGATAAGGTCTGCGTACACTCTACCCTTCTTAAATCCTACTTGTGACACTACACAGGGTATGTTGTTGTTGTAGTATATATTCAATTTTCGGTAAAATTCAAATCTCTTATGGATATAAATTTGATAAAATTTTAATTGTCTGCAGTAACTGATGTAGATTTTATACGAAGGTATTGATATCTTTGCTTGGTCACTTCAACAGTGTTCTCTAGAGAAAAGATGAAGAGCTGGGGATTTTTTTATTAATTTTTCAAAGGAATTTCTTAATAGATATCAATAGTACTGGTATTATATTAAATAGGGTAACTTAGTCACATTGAATTTTTTATACATTACCAAAAAATAGTTTACATTATCATTACAGAGAATTCAAAATAAGGGAGGTAAGCGTAATACCGTAAAATATAAGGGAGATTAGTGTAATGAAGCGAAATTACGAGGGAATTCTCTGAAATTATCTTTAAAATTTAAAGTCTCATTATGCTAGAGGCAAAAAGAGTCTTTTAAAGTCTCTTTCTAGTTAAACTTCTAACAATAGAACGATTTTTTTTTTATACCACGCATGTAACTACAAAGAAAGGGCGACAAACCCCCTATCTAGGGGAGCATGAGTTTGAAGATTACTTCTCAAATGAGGAAATAAACTTTTTCAAAAGAAACCTTTCCTCTTTTATTCGATGAGGCAAATAGAGAACCAACTTTATTCCGTAACTTTTTTTTTTCCAGTCAAGCTTCGAAACCTTACAGTTATCATATCCTAGAATATACTCAATTCAGTACATCGTGGTCAGCTCCCAAATAGAATCTACTGTGGTGAGTGATGCATAGTGTTACATCTACAATTAGAATAAGACATGGATTGCACCAGAAAATACAGATCGTTTCTGTAAAAGAAAGAATAAAGTAAATGAAATTTTAGGTTTTTAAAATCAAGTGAAAAAGATTAGAGCTAAAAATGGACATAATCTCAGGCTCGTGTATGCACTTTATGCTTTTTCCAAGATTTGGTAGTTCTGTTTTGAGTACGAGCCTTACAAAGTACCCTATAGTAGTTTAAGTGAGCGCAATTTCAGAACACAAAGATAAAAGAAAAAAGGATAAAAAAACTTTTCTTTTCTCCCATTGAAGTAAATTTCAGTAATTTATAATCTCAAAGTACGGCTAAAACAAATACAATAGTAGCGTTTTTGAATGCAAATACTTCCATAGTTATTATTAGAACGTTATAGTAAATATCATTATTGGATTTGTGACAATTTATTTGTATTAATTCATCAACTTCAATATTAATCAAAGTTATTTGCATTAACCACATACATATTCCTTTAGGCATGGCTGATGATATCGAAATTTAGCCCTACAGCAATCAAAATGGAAAACTTGAATGCATATAAACAGATCTTCCAATGACGACACACAAGAGATGCCAAGTTGATTCCTCATTTCACCTTCCCAATGAACTGATTTTTAATAGATCTTGAACTGTCTATTGCATTATTTAAGTTTCAAATTAACACGTGTCAAACACGAAAAGGACAATGACCTCTTAATCATGACATCAACACTGGAATGTTCAGATGAAAAATCAAGAAAATGGTATAAATAAGATTTGGCAGAAAACGCTATTCTCAAATGCAAGAAAAGAAATGAACAAATACTGCGAGATAAATGCAAAAAAAGGACAGTCAAGTAGCTCATTGAAAATAACAAAACATGGCCATTACTCCAAATCACAATAAAAACAAGAGACATAGTAGTACTTCCCCATTCTCGAACTACACAATGAACTCCTTTTTTAAAACTAATAAACTCAATAACTTAGAATCTTCACATGAGTACTTTACGCACAAGCACAAGTACAAACGTCAGAAATTGTTTAATGATTTTTCATTCAATATATTACTCGATAAAAGAGTTAATCTCCAGAAAAGAAGTGCAGCATTGCAACTTTTGTTTTTATGGTTTAAAGGGAAGGAAAAGTTAGATTGTAACCTAAAGGAAAACACATTCCGAGAGTAAAGAAAGCCGCTCATTTGAGAGGATAGGCGGCAGCTCCTAGTCCTTTTTAGGCTTATCACACTGATACTGATGATTAATATTTAATCATTTTAATATTTCAAGCATGGTGATGGACAAATACATTAACAAAACCACCCCTTAAAATGTTATGTTCAATGAAAAAACTCACGAATGTCAACATACTTAAATAAAATAGTAGGCATTAAATTAGTTACAAGTTCCAATGCCATCTAATGCACTACTACTTAGTAGGCATTTGAACATACATATTTTTTGCAAATAATTTAAGTATTCTTTGTAATTTAACGTACAGTTTTATCTATTATCTCAAATTAAAACTTGGAATAGAAAATCTGACGTAGAAAAAATGATTCGAATAATATATCAAGTCACAAAACTTCTAACTTTATTGAAATTCATTTTTACACACATTCAACTTCAAAAATCTTTTTTTTCAACTTCAATGGAATATTCTCCAAACAGACCCAAATCTTGATTTCCAGAAAAGAATATAAAAGAAAACAGGAGAAAATGTGTAAAAACAAGAAGCCATTACTCAATTGCATTCATGGCTTTGTACATTTTAGAGTCGAGAAGAAGCTTGGAAGGAGAAGTGAGAAGGCTGCACAAAGTGTTTAATTTCCAAGAAGAGAACGAGGGTTTTCACCTGCTGAAGAGGGAGAAAAGTGGGTACATCACAAGAGCAATATATGGCTGAGAAACAGGTAAGAAAGTGCAGCATTTTCATTTGATGGATTTTCAAATGAAGTTATAGTGTTAACACAAAACTCTCATCCTTCTAACTAAATGTCATTTAGTGGGGAAGGAGAGGAAGGCAACAGCCCATATGAGTAATTAGAACTTTTCTCATATGCTTAAACCAATTCTGCAGAAGAACAATCACAGCAAGTGCTGATCACCTAAAAGTATATCTCAAATTTGGATTCCAACTAATAAGAGGGCGAGCTATTTCCCACCTTGCAAGTTTAACTAAACAAGTTGCAAGTGCTCATCAATTGAATAAAAGTGGGTATCAAATCAAAATGTTAGCCACCTTGGTTAAAAACATTTAAAAAAATTACAACTAGTGTAAAATCTTAAGTCCAAAGTTCAACACCTTTGATGATTTTACAAGGAAAAAATCTATTTGGATCTTACTCATCTCGCAACAAAACCCAAAACACAGCTTATTACCAAAATGAATCACAAATTTGAAAGTAGTAAAGAAAAAGTATAGAAGCAGGTCACATGCTTGTCACAAATACCCTACACTATTACACAAAAAGAAAAACAAAAATCAAACATGCTTCAATCCTTAATTAGTATGATCCACTATATCTAGAGGGACGATTAGCAGTTGGATCAAAAGAAAAGGAAAGTAAAGAAAAAGGCAAAAGGGAGCTCCCTTCAGTCCAAGCACAGATAAAAAGGGATGAATTTACCTCCCGCATCATTCACACATTCACAGTAGCGTATAGAAATACATATATGATTTCTACTGTGTTTGAATGAATGAGTCGGCAGCTAATCCAAATCCCTTCATCCACCTATGAGTGGACTGAAGGAAGCTCTCTTAAACCGTTCAATACCGAATTAAATTAATGTAAGAGGTAAATCACAAACAAATTTCTAAGAGGCTCAAAACTCAAATGAGCAAATAAGCAGTGCTATGTGCCCAAACATTTTCATATTCTTCTCAGTTTTCTATAAGAAGATATTTTGGTAGATCTAATCAAAAACAAATTGGGTAGATAAAAAATGTGTGGTGATTTTGGAGATAATGAGAGTAGAAATTCTCCTTACATTGATGCTTATGATTCGAGATCAATGGACTTCACATTTGGAAAGCAGCAACTGATTTGACTCTTGAAATCCGAACTGCGCCACACAAATTGGGACGGAGAGACTACTTAATAACTTGTCTTTCTTTTTTACTTGTCGAAGTAAAATCATCTTCCAACACAGTGACAGTACCTTCAAAGATATCAATGTCTAACAAGAAAATTCACAATACCAACATCGCTGTACAAATGAAATGTATTTTTGGTGTTTTCTTTTCTAAATTTAAAGAGCTAATATTGGGTTCTGAAGGCACATGAATAGATGGTGGAAAGTAATATACCTGCAACATACCCTAGACCAAAAAGGAAAACAGAAGTTCTCAAGTCAAATGGTTTTTAAAAGGCAAAGGAAAAAATTAACGAGACGCAGTAACACTAAAGCAGTAATATTTGTTAATTTTTCTGCCACTACTCCAATTGCCTGAATGAACCCTAACCCTAACCCGCTGCAAATCCAAGAAGGACAAGCTTGGCGAAAACCTAGACTAGCAATTGACCACAGTAGAAAGATCAGATCACAACTGACAAGTCACAAGGACAAAATCAAACTCATATAACATCATACAAATTAAAGGCGCATTTACCCCTGTTAATTGATGATCCGGTGAAGCAAGGAAAGATACTCCTGAAGCAGTGACCAACTCTCTTTAACGTCAAATAGTAAAAGCAATGACAGTATAAAACTCACTAATATATATCCAAAACAGATAAACGTATGATCAGCGAAATATTTATAACAACGAAAACAAAGAAGACTTCTTCTCCACTCCCCTAAGAAAATCCCAAGTTGGACAATCGATGAACCATGCAAGTGTTCTGAAGAAAACGAGACAAATGGAAGAAAAAAAGAAGGGAAAACAATGGTAGAAAGGGGAAAGAGTAAGCAAGAATCCCGGAAGATGGAGAGGTAGTATTGGTTATATTAGCTTAAGTAGAGTGTAGTGTCACTCTCGGCCTAAGAGTCAGAGCAAAAGGGAAAGCGATGTATGAATGAAGATCTCCACGAATCTCTGCCAAAGAGAAACCAAACCTAGTGGCTAGTAGGGGGTTCTCTCTCTCTTTCTTTTTTCTATACCTTATACAAGAGGGGAGTTGTTGAAAAGACAGGCGTAGAATGGTGTATTTATACACATGATGGATAAAAACTGTCTTCTCTTTCTCTCTCCCCCCTCCTTATCAGGGAAAGAGTTTTGTAGGAAAAAGAAAGAAAAAAGAGTGGCTCTTGTGGGGTTTTCTTTTCTTTGACCATTGTCAGTTTCTTTTAGACAGTAAATACTACAGTCTAGCTGTCTTCTACTAATTTTACTGTTCTCCTGGTAGCAGCCTTTTGTGGGTCACCGGAAGAAAGAGACTGATAAAATAGGGTTAGAATTAAGAATGAGAATAGTGCAGGTCAGTTACGATGTTGTAAGTAAATTGGCTAAAGTGACATTGAAACCCCGTGCAAGTCCTCAACATAAATTTGATCTTTTTTCCCCATTTGGTGAAGAAATTCTTAGATGTTGAGAAAACTCCGAAAACAAATCTAACTACGGTTGTTTACCCGTAAAACAGTATAATTAAAGTTGTTACATGATTTATAGACAAACGAATTAATTTGATTCAAAAATAATAAAGAGATAAGATTAAAAATGAGATTCAGCAACTGAAATTAAAGAAGATGACAAGTCTGGCTCCGGGCGCAATGTCTCTGAAGACGAAAGTGAAAGTAATGATAAAATGCAAATAAAGTTGTTTAATTGAGAGCAAAAGTAAAATATAGCCTATGTTTGCAGAAAATTGCGTGTATTACAATGGTTGTTGAGCATGTTATTTATAGCTTTACCTAAGGAAACAACATCCTAGGATCAAGTTCCTCTTAAATGATAATAAAAGAGTCATTGATGAATATGTAACAACAGACCATGAATGCAAATATTCTCTGCAACGGTTGCTTATTTAATGTTAGAGAATTTTCACTCATTGAATGTTATCTGATGGCAAACCCTTGATCTTCTCCCATTAAATATGCTCCATTCGGGATTTACCTGGTGTCGATTACATTCGTTGTATCCAGTATTGGTCATTGCCTAACTTGCATGCATTTTTCTTACCTTCGGTTCCACGTGTCATGCTATCATTCAACCATCTGTTATAAATCAATTTTACCCCATACAGATAGTCCTCCTACTTTTCGGTAACACATCTTAGTGTTACCAGGAAGTTGGTAAAGAATTTTTTGTTAGCGAAAAAGTTCCTGAACAGACTCTGACGCTTGAAAGGACGCACGTCTTCTCGCATTTAATACCCAAACATGTGTTGTCCTACGATTCAACAAATATTTTCGCCGATTTTAGAAGTAATCATGACCACGATTTTTGTCGTTTATAACTCCCCTTCTACCATTATTCTTACTTCTTTACTTCCAAAAATTTTCATAAGTCTCTCATTCTCTTTGCATCTGCTTAGAAAAAATTTCATCTTCTTCAACTCTCTTAGAAAATGTTTTGCTACACTTTTACAACCATGGCTTCTTTCTATGCACTCTTTGGAAGCACTAGTCTTCTCTTCTGTGGAGGACAAAGAAAAATAAGGACAAGAAAGCCGATGTCGATCCTAAACCTCCCACTATAAACACCATCATACCACAACATCTCCCTAACGACTTCCAGGAGGAGGCCACTTCTGCATCTTCACGGACTTGGCCTGTTAGTAAGTATCCTTCCTCCATTCTCCCTTCAAGTATCCCAACTGTGAAGGAGGACTGCAAGTGCCCCAATCTTGAAATTCTCGCCCCGGATATGATAGAGTGGGGTTACCTTCACCAAGGTGGGTTTTATGTATGTATATACATACCCATTTACCTTGGGTTCATTCTCTCTAGGGTCGAATGAAGGGCTTGACCCTATAATTTTGGAGTTTTGCCGCAGGAACCAGGTTTGCTTAGCACAAGTAGGCCCATCTATATGGCGAACGGTGGCTTGCCTTCACCAACTGTGCACAAAGATCGGAAAAACCCTAACCCCATGCACATATGATGAATCTTTACTCTCCCAAAGTTTTTCGCGGGGAGCAATAGACTTCAGCAAACATGGTCACCACGCTCTTCTCACCATAGTGGATGATGACACTCATCGCAGATGGATGGAGTGATTCGTCATCATTGCTACCAGTGACATCATCCCGGCCACCACTTCGTCTTTTCCTGAGTCGTGGAATCGCTTCTTAAGTTTTCAATTATTCGTTTCCTTCCTTTGTGAAAAAATTATTTTTCGTTGTTGCTGATCTTCTTATTTCTTTTGTTCCAGCTATCCGATGGGAACCACCACGGGTTCAAGGCCTGGACCAGTGGGTTCAGAAAATTCTGAAAATCACGACACTAGAATTCTGCCGGTGGAAGAAATGGCCCCTAAATATGGGTGGAAGGCCAAAAATCATGGTAAGCCGAGTACTTCTTCCATTTATCTTTGTGCGATCACAGGTAATTTCATGAAAAGTTGCTAACTCCATTTTTTGCTTAATACGGGACTTCCGCAGGGCTCTGTCGGTTACCCCGAAATTGACATTTTAGAGGACCCCAAGGAGGATAGAAGGGTGTTGCAAGGCGCCCTTGCCTGAAGCAGAGCTCGTAGATCTGCTTCCGGTTAGGGTGCCTCATCTCGGATTCCCTAGCCCGAGAACAAGCAACAAAAAAGACGACGATCTTCCTTAGCTGGGACTCAAAGTAAGAAAATAAAGAAAGTTACAACCGAGCAGGTTGCAGTGGTCCTCGTTGATGGGGGGAAGCCAGTGGTGAAAAGGCTCCCCTTTAAAGGAGGAAAGGATCTTCACCAGCTCAATCGGGTGCTCAGTCGGGAAAGCTTTAAAACCCAACGTCGGATGAAGTTGACGTGCTTTGGGGCGAGATGAGCTTGATCAAGAATGCTGATTCTCTTTGACAGGCCCCCTTTGTTGCCTCCGGTCCAGCGGGTTCAGACCCTGGGCCTCTTCTACCTCCAACCACTAAGCCAGTAACAATCGACATTTCTTCTGCCACCCCCGCTTCTTCACCTTCTACACCGATGGGTTCACTCTCATCGACACCAGCTGCACCTTCTCTGCCGACAACAACTACCAATCCTTCACTAGTACCGTTTGAGCGAGAAAGGGGTGCTTCTCATCCTCGGTCTCCCGACCACGGGAATTTGGGGCACAATTATTCAACCCATTCCCTAGATCCACGCGGGAGAAGAAATGCCATTATTTTGATTTTGAAAGAGTGCCATCTTTTGTCCAAGCCGGTAGATCTTGCGAATTATCTGAAGTCGTTGGCTTCAAAAAAAGATTGGAAAAAAATGCGCTCCCTTTATGGGGAGTGCTTGATGAACAATGCCATTCACAACGCGACGCAAGTACGTACTTGTTTTCTTATATCCTCTTCCGAACGGGATCAACTGTTGGCTGAAAAGAGCCAACTTGATGCGCTCCTTCCGGTATTGGAGGCAAAAGCTATTGAGGCGAGCGAGCTTAAGGCTCAGTTGCAGCAAAGCGAACAAGATAAAATGGCACACAACCAAGAAGCCACTCAATTACACGAACAACTTCAAGAGGCTAAGGCTAAGTGGGCCGAGCTCCATGACGTTGTGCTTGCTGCTGCCGAGCACGAGTCTGCCTTCGAGGTGCAAATAAATAATTTGAAGGCAGACATAAGCTCCAAAACCGGGGAGGCCAATGCTGCCAAGGAGTAGGCGACCAAAATGGAGGAGAGGTTTAAGAGAATCATGGAGCAAAATAAGATCCACTTATCTACAACTATAGAGTTTGATTCTCGCCTCAACGCCATGAGATCTGAAAGGGACGACCTTCAGGCTGAAATTGATAGACTCAAATCAAAGCTCCATTACAAGAAGATTCCCTCGTATTTGAGAAGACTTATGCTATATATCATATGAGGAGGAAAACCTTGGAAGAGGCCAAAACGTGCATCATCAATGTTGATGATTGCATCGTCAAGGCCCGAGAACTGGAGCTAACTGCTCGTGAAAATCTTCTCGTTTGGCCCGCTGCAACTGACTCTTCGAGCACCGGTTTCGAGTATTCAAGAACCGAAGGGGAGATTGAAGAAAATAAAGATGAAGGTTCAAGCTCCGAGCCGGTAGTAGATCTGCCTCCTTCCACCGGGGAAAATATAGACCTATCTCTCCCTTCGGGTTTCGTCGGCAATGACGTTTAAATTTTTCTTTTAATATCTTGTAATTATGCCAAATATTTCACCGAGTTTGGCACTTTGATGAATAAAGAATATTTTGCTTAAATGTTGTGCAAAATATATTCCTTTTGCATTGAATTGATTAAAGTTTTGGGTATATTTTCATCTGATAACTTTTGATTCCGGGCATAAAATGAAACCTTTCGGAATCAACCCTTTACTATGAGGGTTTCATAAGAGAGGGACATCTTATGTTTACAGTGCTCTTGAAGATGACGTCTCATGTTTATTCCGGCACAAGCATTTGAAGTTTTTGTTATCTTTCAAATGATAAAGTTAACTCATAATTTGGACAAGAAATAAGATAAAAATAAAGGACTTGATTTTATTCCTTCTATCTTTAAAAGTACATAAGCATTTTTTTTCTAAAGTAAAAACTATCAGTACATGTGGCTAACTTGTACAACTTATTTTTATAGGGTTGATCATGCAGTCCTCGGTCCCGATGAATATTGATCCCGATTCTCGCAGTCCTGGTTTTCGTGGCACTCCTGGTGCCGTATCAGATATTATCCCCCCTAGTGTTCAAATGTGAAGCATGCGAATTCGAACAATGGGTGTCTTGCTTCATAGGTAGAAACGACTCATAAATGGTTAAATAATCCTTTTTAGTGATGGAAGGCAAAGCTTGCCAACAAACCAAAGATTATTTAACCACCTATATAGCCATTTGTTATCGATGTGAAAATTTTTGTGCCTTAGTGTCTAAAGGTCTTTCCTTTTGCCGATGACTCTCCCTTCGTAGTATGCTTTCCGTTGCTGCCTCATTAAAAACCTTGCTAGAAAAATCCAATTGGAAAAAAACTGGTCGAAGAGAAAAAGAGTGCAGCACATACTTTCAGTATTGGTAGCATCTGTCAGCAATAATACGTTTTGAGGTGAGTCACATTCCAAT